GGAGGGGGCTCTGGTGTGAAAGGGAGAATTGTGATGTGAACGGGAGAATTGTGATGTGAAAGAGGGCTCCTTATTTGAAGGGAGGATTTTGATGCAAAATGAAGGAACCCCACTTTTTTGTGTGTTTTTGCGTGTCTTAGGGGGCCGTGAGTGAAAAAGGTTTAGAAATGATGGTCTAAACAAGGGTAGGGAAAAGATCTGAATCTGTTACTGAACTACAGTGAGATTAGGTCTTCTACCCAGCCATAGAGGGCTTTGTATAGTGGAAGGGCTGTGTAAAAGGTGCCCATACACTTTACAACCATCGCAAGACCTTAGTTTTGCGATGGTTGTAAAGTAATTAGAAAAACGTACGATCTGCCTATCTTGGACAGACAGATCGTACTTGTGATGACCGCAATGCTGAACGGGCAGTGTGCGCGTGCCCACACCGGCCCGTTCGGCATTTGTCTCCCGAGCATCATTCAAACGATTTTCGGCTGGTTTTCTAGCATGCTCCTTAGACAAAAGACGTGCAACCGTACAGTAGAAATGGTCGCACGCCTTCATTCACACTACACGATTCTCGTACGAGAATCGTGCAGTGTATGGGCACCTTAAATCTCAAGACTGGATGGACAACAAATGAGATCTGGCTTTGCCGACTTGTTTTTCAAGCTGACCTTGCATGAAATGCATATATAAGAGCTGTTTTACCTGCCGAAGAATTGCATATCCACGCAGGTTCAGAATTTTTCAAAATGCATAATTTCAGATTCAGGTAGATTCTATGAAGTGGAAAAACCCAGATATTTTCTTTTGGGAAGTAGGAGCTCTACAATGATCTTTCCAGCTCCACCTACGTGCCACAATTTTGACAGTAGAAGAATATCAGGAGCTCTGGCAGAGAAATTTGTTAGTAAGAGTCCCCGCAAGAAAGATATGAAGCCAATTGGCGATTCCATCAACCAAAGACTACCCATGTCTGAAATACAGGCTTTTGGAGGAATTCAACTTTATAGCACAGCACATGCCAAACTATTTTTTTGTTTTTTTTCCTTTTACAATTTTGCATGGAATAAAGAAGTTGTAACGTCCCAGCATATCCAACTATCCTGTTATAACATCAGCATTGTAATAGGAATATATACTAGAGTTGTCTGTGATGGCTTACTTGAAAAAAATCCTTTTCATTTAGGGAGTGCTGCCTTCAGTCTGTCCATCACTTCCAACAACGTCCTGGATTCCCAGTGCGCACATTATGCATTGCTTCCATCAATGATGTTACATTGTTCAGATGTTGTAGTTCAGAAGGCAGGCTCTGTGAGAGTCTGGGGGGGGTTGGTTGGTTGGCTAAGCCAGGCTTTAACTGTACCCAAGCTGGCCAATAAATATTGATTTAAATTAAACACATACATCCACATGACAGCTTCCAATACATTTAAGTTCAGATTCACACTGCCAGTTTCACTGGCAATTCAAAAGTCAAAGACCACGCATACAATTAGCTATTGTTTAATTTTCTAATAAAAAAAACAATTAGGTGTACAGTAAGACATGATTATTTAATATTAAATGTACAAAAATGGGTAAAAGGTGTCCATCCAATTGCAATAACACTCCTGAAGGTTCATACAGGTTAAAAAAAAAACAAACAAAAAAAAAACATGCCATTAAA